TTCCCTCATAAATATATCTTACAAAAAGTAACAACTGTGCCATTTTTGAAATGTCTGTCGACTCGTCCAGTTGTATTGCAAACTTTGAGCTGTCTTTAAGCCTCATAAGAAGCTGTTGAAATTGATCATTGCTAATGTCTGAAATTCTTTTGGACACAGTGTCATTTGATAATGGAATTTTACTAATTTCAGCAGCATACTGTTTTCCATGAACAATTTCAGACATTCTTATAGCTGCAGGTAGTAAAAGTTGCTCTCCAATAGTAAAAGGCTTTTTCGTTTTTGCTATCAAATACGAAACTTCATACGATGCCAATAGATATTTATCATTCAAAGTAACATACTTCTCCAAAGTGTTCTTTTCTTTATTTGATGTTTGCAAAAGACGCTCAAAATATTCTATTGGCTTTTTTGATAACGTTGCATGTTTAGTATTCAAATGTCGTTGCAGTTTTGACGGTTTCATGCTTTCTGCAGCCAAAACTTCTTTGCAAATTAAGCACACTGGTTGTTCTTCATTGTTGTGAGAAGAGCATGTGAAGCCATACTGCAAATATGATTCGTCATATTTTCTTTTTTTTGTTTTGCTAGAAGTCGGATTTGAAGCACTGCAACTTGGTTGTGACGGCGTGGCAGACTTATTAGTTGGAATTTTAATTAGCCATTTATCCATGATGGTTAAATAATAATAAATAATTAAACAAAATGTAGTTGAACTTTAACGTAATAATTAAAAACACCAACTGAAAATTACACAGTAAATACACACATGTCACTACGAAGACAAAGCTGAGTCCAAACTGAAGTACAAACAGAAAAATAACTACACTCGAATCTTTACCAGTGCAATGACAACAAATTACGATCAGATCAACCCCGACGCATGGCGTGTTCAAAGTGTGCAGCGCACAAAGGCACCGTATCACAAAGACGCCGAAAAAGAAGCTTTCATTTAATTTTTTTTATTATTCTTTTATAAAAATAATATGCCGATTCGCCTAGCCTAGCTTGATTATGCTTCCGTATTGTATGTGTAAGCTGTAAGGCGACGCGGCGTCTGGGTACTTATAATCACTAAGTTATCTTGCAAACACTGACGCCGGCGGCCAGACATCAATGTCGAACGTTCAGTTGAAAATCGAGGAGCGCGTTGTATTTATTATTTTAAATGCTACTTCCATATTTTCATTTATAGGCCCTACATAACAGTTTTGCATTGCCACTTTTTTCAAAAAATAGTTATAATAAAACTACAATAGTATTTTGTATGATTTTTATTTGTATTTATATTTGTACGTAGTGTGTATACTAATTTTAAAATTTTATTTATAATGATTGAAAAGTATCAGATCTTTGCGACCCCCTTTCAGTAGTCTCGCGACCCCCTTGGGGGTCACGACCCACAGTTTAAGAAGCCCTGCTATATTTCATAGAATTAAAATGAAAAAAAAAAGAATACCTTATGGGTCAGTGAATTATTTTTAAAAAATAAAACATCAGAATTGTCAAAATTATTTTAGTTCACCTCTAAGGTCACAAAATTTGTGGTTAGCATTGAAAACTCTTCAAAGAGTTAATTGAAAAATTTTCATTCCCATTATCGATCCTCTGCAAAAACTTTTTAATTCTGCAGTCATATAAATGTACTGTTGAAAACTTATTTTAATTTTATTTAAGAAAGAAAAATATATATTTTTTAAATTTTTGTCATTGATTTTTTTAAATTACATTTAAGGAGCATCAAAACCTTTTAAGTGCTTAGAGCCTCCGAGGCTGAGTATAATCATTACTTACTTGCTCAGAATGTTTGATTAGCAATTCAAAAATTAAATGTAAAATTAATTACAAGTACGATCTTCAGCTGTTCGAAGTTCAGCTGAATCTAAATAATGTAGTTTTTATTCGACTTCATAGACTAATATGAAGTAGATGATACGTATTTTCTCTATGTTTGAATCACGAAAATGCTCTCTGGCTTTCATGAAAATAATGACTGTTTAAAACAACAAACAAAACAACCTATTTTATTTTTGAATTTGAATATTTAAACTTTCTAATATACAGGCTGTTTCGTAATAACCATGTTTAATAGATAATTTTAAAAATCCTTATCAGAAAACAAAACAAAAAAGTATACACACAAGTGGTATTAAAACAGCGTAAAGACGAAGCTCCGTTGTCAAGACTTGCCGATTATTCAACCGCAGATCAAGAAAAAATTTTCCCTTATAGTATTCATGATTACAAACAACATACTAATTATTCATATTCAAAAGTTGTTAAGAATGAGTACTCAAAACAATTCTTAGATAATATGCTAAAGGAATTTATCATTTGATATTTTTAATATAAATGTCCTTTTTACATACCTAAGCACAATATTATAAGTTAACTATAATTTATAAAATAAACACAAGAATTTTTAATCACTGATCACCGAATTTCAATTTTTAGTTCATGATTAATGGCATAAAAATTTTAAGCGGTAAAAGAACTGTAAAGGTTTTTTGATATTTGAACTAAAAATCATGAAAGTATGCCGATAAAATCGCGAATGAACATTTTAAAATTACAATTATAGAATAATTACTTTAAATAAAACTTGCAAGTTTTAAATTTAAATGTTATAGCAAAGTTTTTTTGCAACAATTTGGTAGGTTTACTTTATTCCTTTTAGGATTTACTAGCATTAAACCTTAATTGTGAAAAATTAGTTATTTATAATTTATAATTAAATTATATCAGTTTGTTTAAATAAAAAGAAAGTTAGGAAAAATAAAATTACTATTTACAATTTCTAAAAAATACATCGGCATTAAAAAACGGTAAGCAGTAAAAAAAAAAAAAAATAACAAAATAATTTTCAAATTAATATTTTTTTGAACTATCCATTAAATATAATTGTAAAACAAATATATTTGGTAATTTTTAGTTTCTTCCATATCATCCAGTTTCTTCCATTTCTGCCAGTTACTTCCGGTTTTTTCACTTTCTTCCTGTATTTTGGGAGAAATAGGTTTCCGGACAAAATGCCAACCCTGATTATAACAGATAACAACCCAACAACTAAAACTCATAAGTTAGTGAGAACGAACTATAAAAAGTCATTCAAAGTTTCTTCCAGTAAAATATTTTAATATTTAAAGGTTGGCTATTTTTGTTAAGTTCAGAAAAATTAAAAACTAATAAAATTATTTTGCACTATATATTATTAGATAATTTTTTTTTATAAGAACTGTATGAATACATCAACTAAATCAAGGTTGAAATTGAATCACTAATTGTTAGCCGAATATTCGATAATCGACCATTTAATTTAAGGTAACAGCACAAATTACTAAGCAAAACATTCAACTTTTTCTAGTTGTTCGTTTTTTTTTCCTGTCAGAAGTAGTTGTTGTAGTAGCTCGTCGTTGTAGTGTCGTTGTAGTAGCAAAATTTGAATTAATTTTAGCTTTGAATTCATCGCAAAGTCAATTACTATTTTAATATAAAAATAAATAAATAAATGCTCTTTCCCTGATACCACCGTTATCAGATTGCGGCAAAAATGCGACAGTCACTGAAACTCGTTTATAAAGTCACATGTGACTTCTGCGACGTCGATGCGTGGGTCCAAAAATATTACTATGTCCGTCTCTGGTGACGTCACTTTTCGAGGTGACCTAGACTTCAACATGAAACCACATTGAGACATTTAGTTGTCGCAGTGACATCACTATGTGACGAAGATGTGACCTATTCACGTCTCAACATGGTGACCGTCTCAACTGGGTCAACATGTGACAAAGATGTGACACACTCACGTCTCAACTGGGTCACCATGTGACAAAGATGTGACTTATTCACGTCTCAACAGTATCAAAGTGTGACGAAATTGTGACGTTTACATCTCAATAGGTTCACTGTTTGACTAGCTGAGACATGAATCACATTTTTGTCACATGGTGACGTGAAAGCGGCAGTTATATGTTTCATTGTGGTCTCGTGTTGAGGTTTGAAAGACGTCAAAATGTGACATCCTCAAAGACGAACATAGTGACCTTCAAAAACCCTAGCGTCGACGTCACAGAGGTCACATGCGACTTCACAAATGAGTCTCCGAGACTGTCGAATATTTATTGCAATCTGGTAATGGTGCTATCTGGGTCTACTACTCCACTGCTGTCAATGACAGAACCGAGATGCGCAAATTCTTCCACTTTGTCAATTTCGTTTTAATCAATTTTATGTTATCGTTGAGATTTTGCAGTAATTCTCATGGTTAGGGTTTCCTTTTCATTTATATGCAAACCCACATTATTAACCACGAAAATTGCAGCGCGAAACTCAAAACAAAAGTTGTGGAATGCTCAGCTAAATCATTGTACTGCTTCGTGGCAACGCACATCCTTATTCTACTGGTCTCACTCAAAACCTTATTCAACAATTCGGATAGGAGCAGTTTGATTACTTGCCGTACAACATTGAACTCGTACCTTCAAATAACAGTGGCTCTTGAACTTGATGAGTGAGTTTGGGAAAAGGTGCTTTAACAGTGATGACACAAGAAACAGTACTCAGCAGAGACTGTCTTCACTGGCGGCATCTTTCTTTGACGAGGTTGTAAACAAGTTTTTTTTTCTTCCTGATATGATAAATGACTAAACAATGGTGGTAACTAAGTAGAAAAAAAATGTCCGAAATATTCTTTCATACATTGTTGTTGTTGTTGATCTAATGCCACTTACCAATATCAAACTAAGCGAATTTAAGGCAGAGGGTGCGTTTCCTATTTTCAGTGACGCTCTTTATGGCCAAGAATATGACTTCAGCCACGCATTCGTCACTGCCTGTTTATAGGGTGGACCCATTCAAACTTCTATTCATTCATTCACCGATCGTAATTTTGACCTTAACCAGAGAAAGATCAATCTCCACATCAGTACCCCCAGAGGTATAATTTGCTATGGGAACATGGAGGACTTTGTGACCCGACATATTTAACATGCACGTGTCACTCTTTACTACACGGGGAGTCATCAGCCGGCAGGGATCGAACTCACGACCTCTTGGACATGGGCCCATTCTTTCATAAAAAAATTAATTTTGTTATGCGAATTTTTCCAAAACCAACTTACTTTTCGGACACTCCTTTTAATTGTGTACTATACATTTCAAAAAATATTCAATCATTAAATTTAATAATAAAAAATTATAAATAAATGTAAAAAAATCAATTTTCTTTCTGTTTGCGTTGAAATAACTTTGAATAAATGAGTTTTGCAACTGTTTTCTTAGATTCTGTTAAATATTTCCAGAGATATTGCAAAATACGCAAACTTTGATATAAATATTAAGGTGTACAAACCACTCTCTTGACTAATCTTTTGGGAATACATTTTCCAGAATGCGGCTACTACAAACACATATTTTGAGGTCAAGAATCCAAATGTGTCGAAGATCTGGCATGTTTATTCCGAGGCATAAAAATGTAGACTTCGAAGTTATAAAAACATATGTTTTTATTCGATTTCGTAGCTCAAAATATCGTCAGTAGTAATTAATTAGCATATTTATTTGATTGCCCTTCAATCTATAAAGATTGTATTCGAATAAGTGACAACCCGATCGATTACTAGTTCATAACTTTTTAAAGTGTTCCGTTTTTTTTGGGGGAGGGGCGGTGCAGTT